TAAGGGGTATTATGAAAGGATATAAGTAGTAGAAAAAAATTTACCCCAGCTGCAGGTGCTGATAACTCTTTATCCTTTTCCTGGAGAATGAAAATCAGAAGGCTTATTAACTTGATGGTATAAGGAATTCACATTGTGAAAATTTCAACCATATTAAGCAATACATAGCATGCATACCTCTGTGCTACTTTCCTGATGTGCAGCAAGCTTTTTTTCGTACTTCTTTCTAATATCTGAAGCACTTTGACTAGTGTTTTCCCCTCTACCAATTTCTTCAATCTCATTTCCAACCTCCCTGCCTCGAGTACCACCACCAAATTTCTCTGCCAATTCATCCTCAAATTCAAGAGTTCGCTGTAGTGCCTATAGACAGCAGTCAAAACATTAAAACCACCAACAAATGAGAAAGTTTTGAAGGCCATGAATATGGATATAAAATGTCAACAACAATGAAATTTTTTTTTTTATATTTATCACTAGCATATCACTTACAAGAAGCCTAAATATAGATGTGCCACTTGAGGTAAGGAAATGCTTAATGAGTATAGTTTCCCATATTAAGTCTGATTAGCAGTTCTAACCATGATTGGATTTGGTTCAGTTTTCTCTTTCTATTGTTTGTGTTTCCTAGCATAAACTTCACTGATTCATCAAAGAGAGCACCCGTACAGAATAGTGACTGTAAGATCTCAAGGAGACAAGCAATGCATGATCCATACGGCTCCAAAAAAAATTAAATATGCATGCACTGCATCACTCATGGGTTGTTTAAAGGTTTCAACAGATGTACCCAAGATTATAAAGGAAAAAACAAAACTAAGGTTTTGTACTCCGCTGATTGGTTCAACATCTTTCCTGTGGTTTCTATTAAAAAAGACAGGATCTCTCACTTGTTTAATCACCCATTTCCAGTTACTTTCATGAGGCAATACAAATGATATCACATCATATGGATAAGGAGTTGAATAACAAATTGTAGAGAAAACTGAGTGCCACAAGAGATGGATGGTTGCATTTATAGCAAAGCCAAAACGGAAGTGGATTAAAATAGTGCAAGAAGACATGATGACATAATGATATTCGATTCAAATGCCTCAAAAAGGTTGAAATTGGGTTTATCTGAAGTCTGAACTTAGGTTGTTTGTGCAGCTTCTACAAGAATAGACAAGAATCAAACTAATCTAAGACAAATCAAAGAAGCACCAAATATCACTCCTCAAGTACATGTAAAAGCAATCCAACATAATAAATTAGAAATATGGCTTACCAACAATAATGTCCCAACATCAGGCTTTTCTTTCTGATTATTATGTATATCTTCCAGCTGCTTTCTGAAGAAAAAAACAGTACAAAAAAATTTTAAATTAAGTTTCCGTGAATTTCTCTGGTAAAATCAGATGTTAACTAGAACCCACTATGTCCCAAGGGTCAAGTAAATGGAAAAAGGAAACGAATAAAAAGTCAACCTCAAAAGTAAACTAGATTAAGTGTCGTCTATGGAATTTTGCTTCAAATATTTTTCTTCTCCTCCGATAAAAGAAAGATTACTAAATCTCAAATAGTAAATGGAGAAAAGGAAGAAACATGTATTTTATCTGCTATGTGTGATGGCATTACTCGCCCTCCCTTTCTACTTAGTTACACGTGTGACCACCAGCACATAGAACACTACAATGTTCAGGTTTTTTCTTGGAGCACTACATCGAAACCTTGAATATCATAAAGATGGCAATAGGAACATCAGTTTTCAAATGTTAAATGTTCTTTTTCAGTATTTTAAAAAGTTGATGGCTACATTTTATGTAAAAGAAAAACTAAGAAAATTCCACCCTCTGAAAAGGAATTGAAGTTATCAACAAAATATGATATTGAAGGGAAGTAGATTGTACCTTGTTTTTTTACAGAACTGAATACAGAGCCGATAAGGAACATGCCATGAAGTAGGAAAGATTTTCCAGATTTCTTCATTTGTTCTCATACGACGCTTTATCCATGCATATCTTCGTTCAGTTTTATCCAACTTAGCTAGTTCTACAATAGAGAAAACAAGATTAAATTCAAAATAAAGGACAATTAAAGTCAAGTCTGCATACATACTGAAAGCATCTCTGCTAAGAATAACATCAAACATGAACACACACCAGCTCCTTCAAAGATCTGCTCATAGGAAGTAAGTTCCCTGCTGCAAAAGTTATTTACTAATTCTTCCCTCACAGATGGCTCTAAAGCATCAACAACCAAGCAAGCATCAGATAACTGCTGAAGTAAATTAGTTTCCTCCGACTCCTTTCCAGTACCTAGGCTGAGAATAAACCGCAAAAGAGAAGATAATTAGGAACTAAGAGTCCAAGATAGCAAAAACATTATAGTTGCAGAAGGTTAACTAAGAGTCCTAGACAACCAACTCTCCATACAGTTCCAGCCTTAAATAAAATATAAGGCACACACATTCTAACAAAGCATAAAGAATATAACCAAATGCTATAATTATTAAACCCAAAACCAAGCATCAACAGCCATTTAATGATGTATCCTTTTAATGGTCTACTTAAATTTGATTTGTATATATGGCACTGCATATTATTTTAAACACTTACCTTGAGAAATCAGAAAACACATGCGACTTTAGAATTTGTTTGATATTCTTAAATTTTTCCCTCAGCTCGGTGATTTTTGGAATGTCCCTGTAAGCCTCAAAATGGCTACATAACTGGTTCACAGCCTGATACGCATCATAAACTAGAATTAAAATGAAGCACTTGCTCAAAATTCATATAAATCTATTCTTTTAAAACCAGCAATTACTTCTCAATCATCTTTGTATAATGCAAAAGTTTGTATCAGGAAGAAAACAATTCTATTCCAAAGATATAACATAAGCAAAATAACACAAAATGCTGCAAACAATGTGTATCATTTCTTACGAGGATCTTCCAATTGCTTAAACAGAGTGTCATAATAATCCGATGCTACAAAAGACTAAAGCATAATTGAGAACTTCAATAAAAAAGAGTCACAGAGTAAGCTCCTTTTTTACCTGCAGTAAAATGACATGGTATTATATTAATAGCAGATAGGTTACCTCCAACTGTGCAGCTGCCTCTTTATATTGTCGTTTTGAAGCCATTACTTGGAGCTGCTCAACAGCAGAGACTGCCATGTCACAGAAAAAGGGTACTCCCATGAGAATGTAATATGAAGGCATTCATCGTCAGTTTCTAATCAGGGTCTAACAGTTGATCGATAAATCTTGATCAATCATCACTGTAAAAATCATAAACAAGCAACTAACCGAGCATGGTCAGGCGATGAAGAGCAGTAATCGTCGTTGTTATATGCTTCTTTGCAAAGTCTAACTTCTTAATGTCGCGACATATTTCTTGAACCATTGTCTCACTTTGCTCAGCTTTCGTTTTAATTTCGCGGATTTTATACATGAGTTCCTGCCTTAGAGCATCACAAAGTAAATAAATAAAACAAAAGAAAAACAACAAATTACACACTTTGGTTTTACAAGCCTTGATTTTGCAAATTAACCAGAGTTTAAGAACAGACCTCCACGGCATGCGTAGCAGCGGCGAGATCTTCTTTCGCTTTCGTCCCCGAATTGCTCTGGAAAAAAACACACCAGCCAATCCATCAAAAACTACAAAACTAGTATAAAAAAAAAGGTGCAATTGGAGCTGTGAGCTCAGAGCTCAAAAGGCAAAGGCGACGACCTGCTGGCGAACCGCCGCTAAAATTTCAGCATCGACACGCCGAATCTCACTGTGTATCTTCTGCATTAGCGGTTCCACACCAGATAAAGACGCCTCTGATTGCACAATTCAAAGAATTCAAAGAGTAAGTCCAACACCTACACATTCTGCTTATACATATTCATACTACAGATATAGATATATATATATATATATGGAGAGAGAGAGAGAGAGACCTGTGGGAAACATCTGGTTGATGTATTCCAAAGCGCTTGACTTGTCCATGGCTGCCAAATTAAGCTCTGAGCTCGTTGCGTTGAAGTAATGGATGGGAGAAACAGTTGGAAGAAGGAGATCTGAGAATTTGGAGAGTGGATTCTCTCTCTTCTCTCTCTCTGTATCTCTCTCTCTCTCTCTCTCTCTCTCTCTCTGAGAGTTGAAGCTTTGCTTTCGATTCAGCAATGACGCTGGAAGATGGGTCGATCTAAGATCGACGAGATAGTGAACCGGGTTTCGGAGGAGCAACGACTCTGACCCGACTGTTTTGGAGCGGGCCATAAAGCGCGGGTTTGTATCCCAACCTATATGGGCTGGGCCTACTTTTGTCGTTCTATGGGCCGAACAATTTTGCATGAGATACTTTCGACCAAATAAATTCAAGCTTAGATGCATTTGTTTGGTAAAATAACTAATTAACATTTACTTTTTGACAATTGTGGGTTAAGTTAATTGGCAATTACAGTGTGTCGTCTCTTCTTGCGCAAAATCTGTCAGATGTTGGTTAGTTAATTCGTAATGATAGTGTGTCGTCTTTATTTACGTAAAATTTAAAACTCTTATTATAAATTAGAGTAATTTAAAATTTATATTGTTATTGTCAAAGTTGATCTAGTTATATATTTTAATGTGTTTGAAAGCGCTAATAACTTCTGGTCTACTCTCATTTTTCTTTCTTACTGTTATAAGGGTAGCCCAAAATATGCATAAACATGTGAAAAGTTAATTTTAACCTTCTAAAATGGTGTCCTGATATAAAAACGGACTCTGAAGAATCCTAACAAGTTAAATTAAAGGAAAATTAATAAACATGACTTGAAAACTTTGAGCTTTAACGATAATTCAAAATAAAGAGTAAAGTAATTAGTATAATGATTGACTTTTTAGTATAAAAATATAATTTTTCGTTAAAGTAAACAGTACCAAGAACTTTTCGTTAAAATCTCCATAAATTAAAGCAGCTAATCATGCTTAATTAATTAACTAAACAAATGAAGTAGTAAAGTAAAGCCGAAGCAAAGGTAAAGTCAGAAAACACAATCCGCTAATGCAGAAGCAAAGCTAATCACACAAATCAGGTTGGCTGGGTTTGTATAAACAAAAACGATTTAAAAATCCCTAAATCCGATTTAATATTTGATAATTTTGATTCATTCATGTTTTGTCCGACCACAATGTGTTGTGTCCATCATTGCCACTGTTTTCTGTGGTTTTCAATTTATGCTCAAATTTGGTGAATGTCAGCTGAAAGCAGACTGTCTCAGTTTTCAAAATTAGACTTCTTTTGGTGCAATTTTGGGAAAGTTTCTGGTTATGGCGGAGAATTCAGCTTCTGAGCTTCAGCTCGGAGAGGAATCAACTCCGGAGAGCTCATCTGATCAGCACCAGGTGAGTTTTTGCAATTTTCAGGTCACAGATTTTACATTTTAGTCATTTCAGTAGTAAACATTTAGTTTTTCTGTTTGTTTGCTGCATTTTCTCGGTTACCAATCAAAAAGTGTTAGTATTTTGCTTTTGTTTAGGTACTCTGAATTGGAAACTGAAAACTTTAAAAGGGTTAATCTTAAAGTCTGAATTTTTTGGTTCTTTAATGCTTAAATTTAGTTTCTTTGACTCCAATTAGCGAAAATCAGTTGGAGTTATATGCAGAAATTACATTGCTTTCGAGTTTTTTGCATATCGCATGTCGGTTTTTTACGGTTCATGATGATGATATAAGGTTCATGTAATTCTTTGACTTGTATTTACTTGTGCTGAAATGCTTGGACTCTATAACATTTTCTGATTTTCGATCTCATTGTTGAGTAGTGTACCGATAAAAGGGTTTGTTGGTTTGGCAGATTCATGAACAAAAGGAAAAGAATGAAGAAACCTCCTTGGTGCAGCAGTCTAGACGGCCAAACCTCTCCTCATTGCAAATACCGGCAAGGACATTGGAAACCAGTTTGTCTGCTTGTACGAGAATTGATATTCCCTCCACAGCAAGTCCAAGTTCTAGTAGAGTTGGACTACCGCCTAGGCCACATTCAGCTAAGATCAAATCAACCGTGAAAAATCTGTTTCCTCAAAAAAGTTTTCGGGTGAAAAACTTGCCCCTGGATGGCGAGAAGACGATTCTCATTATGCCGGATACATCGCCCTCAGATAGTCCGTTGGAAAAGCCTTCTACTTCACGGTCTTTCTCGCTCAATAAGCTTTTCTTCTCTACATCAACAAAAGGGACGCATTCTTTACCAGTTACACCAAGTGCAAATCTGGGTTCCGAGATTGGGCAGGGAAGACAAGTGGAGAGTCATTCTGATTCTGTAAGTAATTCTAATTTATCATTTTCATGTACCAGTGCCAGTTTAGAAATTCTCGTGTCACACTAAAAATGAATTTTGTTTCAGAGAATTGAAGTTAAGCATCATATGTCCCGCTCTTTCTCAGTTCCAGTAAATATTGCGACCAGAAGTTTAAGGCGGATGGATTCTGGATGCATGATCCGTGTAATTTCAGCAACTCCACGTCCTTCAGCAGTTGAGGGTGCCTCACCAAATGCTGACCCAGCACTGGAAATGGGTAAATGCTACCTCCTGTCCTGAATAGAATGTGAAAAACTTGGCTCATAGCCTCGTAGGAGATTGAGCAGATATGGTGAAGCACTTTTGTAGGAGTATTATATGCACTAATCATGCTGGAAGGAAGAATGAGCATATTCACAAACCTCTCCTACAGGCACGGTTACTGCATATAAAAAATTTTGGCTAGTAAGAGAACAAGAATATTCACAAACCTCTCCAACAAGCAACTGCGGAATTATAGTACATATAATACTCCTATTGACTTTTAGTAGTGCTACGTTGGTTGCAGATAGATTTGATTTCATATCTTTTTATTCATCTGTTGATTTATGGTCATTCACTTGCAACTGGAAACGTCATTCGTAGCTTTAAAATAAAATAAAATTGAAAGCCAAGGTTTTCATACTTTCTTGGTTGAAGTATTGAGCCATTAACTTTTATCAAATGCTGACAAATTTATTAATTTATTTTTCTCGCTATGAGTGCTCCTTAATTTTTTTTGTATTATCTGACATATATATCAGTAACTAATGAGAATGATAACTTGCCAATTTCAGCCACTGAAGATTCGGGTGAAGATATTCCTGAAGAAGAAGCAGTTTGCAGGATTTGTTTGGTTGAGCTCGCAGAAGGTGGTGATTCTCTTAAAATGGAGTGCAGCTGCAAAGGAGAGCTAGCACTTGCTCACAAAGATTGTGCAGTAAAGTGGTTTAGCATTAAGGGGAACAAAACCTGTGACGTCTGCAAGCAGGATGTCCTAAACTTACCCGTAACACTGCTTAAAATACACAATCCTCAAACTGTTATCAGACGACCACCAACAATAATGGAGCAGAGGGAAGTCCATCATTACAGGCAAGTCCCAATTATTACAATGATGATAATGATCCCAGCATGACATCGTAATTATGACTCATTATAAAGTGCCCCGAGGCTCCATGTTTTCAATTTTAGATGAAATGACTGGTATATTCACCAAATAATGTTTCCTACCAAAAGAAAAAGTACCACACAACCCCCTCCCTCCCAAGTAAAAATGAAGAGAGAAGACAAGTATTACATGAGATAATGAGAAACACTCGCAATATAGAATGAAGAAACAATTTTATGCTGTTGTATCTATGAAATCTTCACAGAAATCATCACATTGATATGTTAGTAATTCTGGATACTTGATGGAAAACTAAACTACACTCCGTTAATGCCCCATTTAACATCTATCTGTGCATGTCTGGTTGCTAATTTTGCTTATTTTTTAATTTTCACTTTATATATTTACACTTCTAATAACCTGGATATTTCTGGAGATGGGGGAGGTGCATGCTTACACGTCTTCTACTGCTCCATTAAACACATAGAAAAAAACATGATAAACAATTTGTTTCCATCAACTTGTCACTCAGCACATTTTCTCAAAATGTTTGGTAGCATGCCCTCAGTCGAGACTTGAGATATTACCATGTGAGTTTGATTTTGGATTTTGCCTTGTTGCATGCTTTACAGGGTCTGGCAGGACATACCGGTTCTTGTCCTGGTCAGCATGCTTGCGTATTTCTGCTTTCTGGAGCAACTTCTGGTTTGTTTTGTGCTTATTTACAATAAACTCAAGCTCTTCATTATATGGAATCATGGTTTTGGTAGCAAGCTCATTCTTGCTGGCAAAGAGACAATTCTAGATTTCATAAGTCGCAGCAATTGTTCAGTCATACTTCATATTTTCTGTGATATGATCCTGAAGAATTTACAACTTGCAGTCTATACATCTATGCTTGTTATTTAAACATTTGTATGAACATTTTGTTCTTGTTTTGCATTAGAATCATTATGTGCGTGAAGTTTCCTTTTTCATTCTGAACAGGTATCTGACTTGGGCCCTCGTGCTCTTGCCGTTTCCTTACCCTTCTCTTGTGTTTTAGGTCTCCTTTCATCTATGATTGCTTCCACAATGGGTGAGTTTCTTCTTCCTTTTAATATCAACTTGTTTTTATTTTATGTCCTTTCTTTATATAAATCCTCACTTAATAAAATACAATTCTATACAGCTTAATTATTTTTCCCAATACATCTATGAAGATATTAATTTTAATCTGTTCACCCGGTTTTTCTTGTTTCTCTGCTTTGTCATATCAAACTTCAATTAGGAAATATTTTTTTGCACCCTTTTAAGAATGTAGTTGGGGCCATCTCTTTGCCAACTCGAGAGGCGAGATTCTAATAATCTGCATTGTTCTTTTCTCTCTTAAGTAGAGGCGAGATTTAGTTCATCAGGTACAATTCTAGAAAGTTAGAGGGGACAAAAAGGAACATCAAATCTTAGAAACATAAAAGTACGCTGGATAAAAAGTACCCTAGGAGTTAATTTTGTACAATTCAACGAATAGAAGTACGGAATTTTAAGATGTGAGAGAGATATTGTCCTAAGGAAATCAATTTTAAAAAAGAGTTAAACTTTTTTCGATGAAACACCCAGAGTGGTCTTTTTCTGAGCAACTCATGATGTTTTCTATTCTCTTTCTGCCCCCCTCCATCTCTATTTTTGCTACGAATAAGTGGAGCATTCTATTTTTCATGAATTATAGTTGCTTGAATACACTACCTGATTATGCATGGTGGTGGCAGTGAGCAGGAGCTACTTATGGGCTTATGCCTCCTTCCAGTTTGCCATTGTGATCCTGTTTGCTCACATATTTTATACTGTAGTAAGCAGAACCGATTTCTTTCATGAATTTACACATCCTGCCTGTGTTCCTTTCTTTTCCTTTTTCTTTGTATTCTATTGGTCTCTGCTGCAGCTTCTCATGTTCACTGACCGTGCAGCTTAATGTAAATCCAATTCTCTCAGTCCTCCTTTCCTCATTCACTGGCTTCGGGATTGCAATCAGCACGAATTCCCTTCTGGTTGAGTATCGTAGATGGAAAATCAGCAGACAACTGCAATCATCCTATCAACATGCTAGCAGTGCACTGCATCTGCATGAACTACAACTGCAGCAGCACCGGCAACAGCAAGAAGAGCAATATCAACACCAATCCCAGCAACAACGACGGCAACAGTTGATGGAAGATTCATATAATCAGTACCAGCAAGTACAGCGACAGCTTCAGCAGCAAGAAGAAGAACATCATCGACACCAACAGGAGCACCAGCACCAGCGGTTGGATGGAGATCCAAATGCTGATGGTTCTAGGCCGCTAGAAGTTAGACAGGGCACATAGTCCATAAAGATTGAGCAATTTGGTTTCTTTGATAGGTAAATTCGAGCTCTGTATACTGAAGATCTTTCAATTTTTTCCCATGCATATTAGCATGTAATCATTTTCTAAATACGGGGCAGGCGACTTTCTGGTTTCCTCTCCAGCCATGTAAAATCTGTACCTACTTCTTATTTAATACAGGTGCTCATTTTAACTCCGTGCAGCTTTAAAGGTTACACGATCAGGAATCAGATACGCAAGAGTAACCTGAGGCGTTTTCTACCTCAGATTCTTAGCCAAGGCTGACCGGATGGTATGTTGTATTCACCAGCCATGTGCTCGACTCATTTACGGACATTATTGTAAGCGAAAACGTCTCAGGCATGATGAGGTACTCCCTGCCAAGTGAAATACCCCCCTTGATTGGCCGTTTAGTCTTGACAGTTACAACGAGCAATTTCAGAATTTCAATTTTTGTATTGAGCCGTAGTTTTTCTCAGTTTTTTTTTTCTTCTGATTATTTGTTAGTGTTCGTGTATTTCTTGTACTTTACAAGGTTCTTCTCATCTTGTCTCTAACCCTTTAGCCTTAAGGGAAGGAAGCTTTCTTGTAAGAATTTTGCAGAGGCTGTGCCTCGCGCGTTCTAGTGTTACACTTTCGGGTTGTTTCCCTTTAGTCCTCCAAACTATTTTTCGTGCCAAGTTGGCCTCTAAGTTTTTAGTGTGTACTGCTGAGGACAACGGCGCTTGTTACAAAAGTTGACATAAGGTACCATTTGGTACGTGGGACGGGATGGAACAGAATGGGACGAGACATTCCGTCTCACGTTTGGTGCGCTTAAAACGGGTGGAACGCGCTGTTCCACGGAACGAATTTTGGATGAATTTTTGTTCCGTCTCACCCTCTGGAACGACTTGTTTCACATCCGTGGAACACAAAATTATAACATCTCCGTCTCCTTCTTCCTCCTTGTTTCCATCTGAGGATATCTTTGCTCCCTCTCTGTTTCGTCCCGTCTGCATACCAAACGATACCTTAAGTGAATTGGCCAGGGCGCCATGCGGGTTGGCTCAGGTTTTGGACGGAATTGCACATGAGATTGACCTCTCAGTTTGAACATTCTTCAAAACGAGTAACCGAGTTTCACGGTCACCAGTACCGTCTTTGGTAACGACGATAACTCATCACACATCACTGCTCTCAATAGTTAGCACAATTCAATTGGAGATAAAAATTTAAGAGAAAATTCACAGCAAGAGCTTAAAACTGCTCATAACATCTCACCAAAATTTGAACAGTGCCTAAATCAAGACTAAGTAAAATGAAGGAATCTGTAAAGAATCCTGCGTACACCGATTATGCTACAACAACCTTGAGTTTCCCCCAGCAGATCGAAAACGATAACAAAAGCATGTATAAAAGGGGGAGCAAACAAGTGAGTTACATGAGCGGTAGTGCACATTTCAGCTCTCGCCTCCACGTTTTACATCCAAGGTCGGTTTGCTAACTGGGAAACGTTATGACCTTGCTAGCGTCAAGAGTCCATCCGGAGATATGCTTGAGTAAACCGTATTAGCAGACACCCAATGTCTATCGGAGTACACTTCTAGCTTTTGGTTTGGCCGTCAATGCTTCAACAAACCGGTACATCCATCGATCTAGCATTCCTGATGCAAGAAAGGAAACAATAAGAGTTACAATGAATGGGAAAATTGATGAAAAAGTGACCCTCCCATCTGTAACAAAAATATGGTTAGATTGGAAACTTTGATGGCCTAGACTCTAATAGAGAGCACATCAACTAGTTGGAACTTCAATAAGCGGTAACGGAAGTTCCAAATCCACAATATACTTTGATTGTGCTGACTTAAAAGAAATCATACAGAATGAGAAGAAAAACCCAAACCTGTCAAAGCAAAGGTACCACCTAATACAGCACAAAGCCGAGTGATGAAATGGAGAAAACTGCGGCGTTCTTCTTTGATAGTTACAGTAATTGGTGAGAGATCATACAAGAAGTATACAGCTGGATACAAACAAACGAACAAACAGGGCCAATAATTAACACCAAGAACCCAATAAAAGGGACAGACAAATAAATTTCTCATAAACCAACCTGGCCATGACCTATCAAACTGTTTCATAGGAGAAAAATATTCTGTGACAGAGAACTGATTGGTTGACAAAACTTCTTTTGAGATATACCTATATTCAGTTGGAACAATCTGCGCAGCAACAAAAAGATACATTTTCAGAATCGATTGAGTTTCTAAGTTGTCCCTGAAAGCCCTCTATTAGAATGTATGTAAAAGAGTATATCTAACAACAAACTTAGGCCTGCTGATGTCCCATGCAAATTATCTAATTGGTCATGTTCTGAACATTAACGTAGAACTTGAAACAAATCCTTTAGTTTTTCTGTACCAAGCAATTGCATCAGTTCATTTGTATTTGAAAACAATAGTTTCGAGACAGATAGTTAATATTCCTAAAATGGTCCTCTTCATGTTCAAAACTTATTGCGCTGAACTGATATCAAAATGCCAACTGACCAATGAAGCAAAACTCCATTATACTTTGACAAGGAACTGGCAGCATGCCATGCCTCTAAGTTCAAGATGTTGAGGCAGAAGAACTGGCAGCATACGGCCCAGGGAAGTGTATAACTTTCTAATAGACTTTAGGTATATTTATTTTGATAAAATAAATTCACGTAAAATCCATTTATGAACAAAGACAAAGTATTGTAGACCACTTGATGAAGGAAACGGTATAATTCTTTATTAGAGCAACAAGTTCCTTGGCTAGGAGTACGCTTTTTGGATGCAAGTCTCTTCAGCAGGGAAACTTTCTTGCTTTGAATTTCTCCTATCTGAATTAAAATATGGGGCAACTACTCGACCTTGCACAAGTAACAAAAGGTAAAAAAAATGAACATTTAAAGTTCATTTAAAGGCTCAAATGGAAGCAAGCATTCGTGCACAGACATGCATGAAACACACCAGTGTATATTGCAGATACCTGAGATTTAAATCTACCAAAGAGCTGTATACAAAGGAAGTTCACATATTCAAACCTTTATATAATATTTGAATGTGCCACTTGTGTCATGCAAAATACGGTCTGTCCCATCAAGTGGATTGTGAATTCCTGGATATTTTGGGCCAAACGACAAGTCATGAATGATGTGGCTTACGTTTACATTTTTAGATCCTCCGAAAATCTGCACATAAACAGTAAGACATGGAAAAATAAGTTGGGAGCTGTAATTAACTAGAGCCAGGAAGCTTTACAAATATGCTATAGTGAAAAAAGCTAGTTGACACAAGACTGATCCACAAAGAATCCCTTTTGATACGACAAGCGAGGCAGGGATTACTTTACTCAAGCGCCTTCAATCCCCATATCATTTCCACACCCAAAAAGGTTGAAAATAGATTTAAATATCAAGTCAAAATGCACCAATCTTATGATTCAGCAGTTCCAAATGCCAAAACCCAAATTTATAAAAATTTTCATTCAGGGACCCAAAATTTAGATCCACCATAAGTACTTTAGATCAGGCACTGCACATTGCATGTTCTAGATCACATGAAACTCATTCACCACAAAGAAGACATAAATTGGAAGGAGGAGGCAACAAGCATTTTAAGGCAAACTAACCATTTGTGCAACGAAAATGTTTAACCCATGAACTGATATATGAAAGTTTCCAGCAACCCTTTGGACATCTAAAACACCAAAAACCTGCAGCAAAATTTTATATCAGATATATGAAATTTCTGAAGGAGCAAGTGCAGTCCAATAGTATAAAAAGTGGAGATCTCTGTAATGATGTACCCGGCATCCTTCTCCATTTGCTATTGCATGCTTTACCCTCTTAATGAGATCTTCTGCAGCTTGATCAAAACCTCCTTGTGAATGAATTTCCTGGTCCTTATCATCGTGATTATCTTTGCCATCATCTGGTGAAGGTTCTTTATCAGAATAAGAAAATCCAAAAAGCAAGACATACAACCAAAACAAAATGCGATAATGCAACATGGACATTACCATGCTTGTGAGAATGCTCCTTTTCAACAAGGTCAGACAAATATTCAGTGCCGATGATGTGGCCATGACTGTTAAGGCGAAGCTGCAGCCACTCTAAACCGGTTAGGAGAATAACTATGAGAGAAGGGAAGAATAGAGACAGATCACCAGTTGCCAATTATAAAAACCTAATCTTACTATATAAATGCATGGTCAACAGCAATGAGATTATAACTAAAATTTAAGCCAGTGGATCAAAGGAAAGAACAAAAATAGTCATCACTACCAACTTTTCGAAAAGCCTAAAACTTATGATGGCCCAGCAAAAAAAACACCAGGAAAAAAAGGCTTGACAAAGCACTAAGTAAAGGAAGATCCAAAGAATCCCACATGAAGTGGTGCAGGTTAAACAAATTATGTTCGCATGCATATGACAAACGTGAAGATAACACTTGGACGCCAAAACCTTTGTAATACCATTGTACAAATGCAGTTCATTGCTGTTTGACATGAAACACCATATTACATTGCAGCCCAATAACAGGAAATACATAAGAATCAATAAAGTCTCTTACTTTCCATATGTTTGTGTCAAGATCTACTTCATGCTTGCCCGACATATCGATTGCATCAACACTCAAGACTGCAATCAAACGTAGAAAACCGAAGCTTATCATCACAAAGCTACCAAATGATGAACAGAAAACCCTACAAAGAAACCGCCCTTCACATAAATAGCAAGAGAAAAGAACATTCTCACCATCACAAGGTAAAGCTGGAAATGTCATATTTATATGAATCGGAAGAGTCTCTCCGCGCTTTAAGTCTACGGCCATCTGCCAAAAACACAACCCTTTTCAATTAGACAACTTACAATCTCATAGCATCCATGCATTTCTTTAAATCAATTACCCACTTATTCAACTTAACAATATTTCCAGAAAACGAAAAGCAACGCATTCAAAATTCAAACCTGGTGGACGGTGTATGTGGTGAGATAATATCTGAGCTCGTGCACAAACAATGTCGCCATTATAAGCAGCCCAACAACAGAAACTACAAATTCAAGGAAAGCCAATAAATTTCCGCAATTCACATAAAACCCAACTCAAAAAATCTAAAAAATTACCGAGTGCCCCGGATTGCGTTTTCTGCAGCAAGTGCTCCTCCGCCCGAGGAAACGCATCCAGGCTCTTTAACGCTTGTCTAACCCTCATTTTTTACCGCAATTTTCACCAACAACAACGATAAATTTACCCAAATCCTGCACCATTTTCAAAAATTCAACTTTTGAAGCATCAAAAAGTAAAACTCCTCGGATTTAATCATTCCGATCAAATCAAAATCATGGTGCTTTTAGAGAGAGAGAGAGAGAGAGAGAGAGAGAGAGAGAGAGAGAGAGAGAATTGCAATTGAAGAGGGAGGGAGGCGTACCAGTAGATTTTCTTTGAACAAATCGCTCAAAAACAGAGAATTTCGCGTTCCGGAAGACCGCAGACCGAAGTCGGAGAATTGAAGCTGTTGGACTCCGCCGCTTTTATAGTTCTGAGCTGGGTTATGGTGCGCGCGCGTCTAAATTGGTCTTGTCCTGAGCCCGCGCCTCCTCTTTTGCTATTTTGCTTTCTTCAAGGTTCAATCGTTCAAGGGGTCATTTATTTTGGCATATATGATTGAAAACTCCAAGTTGATCAATTTTCTTGATGGTGGTTGTTGATTATGGACCAAATTGATAGTTTTTTTTTTATTTTTTTTATTTTGGTCCACTATTTAAGAACTTTTTCTGGGAGTTTCAGGGATTAAGATTGTGCGACAAGTATTTAAATGGATCGAAAATTGATTAGTAAATTGGAACGTTATAATTTAAAGGAGAACGAACTAAAATATCAGTGTTTGTGTGCGATAACGTAGATGAGATTAAAGGAGTCAGTTGCTTTCTGTAACTCAAAAGTTTCAATTTTACTAGCTGGAACTCAAAATTCGTTTTACTATCCTTTGGAACGCGACTTTGTTCCTGTTGACTGATATTGACTCAAGGGAATGTCACATAATCTGCCACATAATATGCCATGTCGTCAATATTTCTGTTGAAAGTTAGTTAGGATGGTTATTTGTAGCTTACACAGTAAGCGAGGTTGTTAGGCTACTAGAGTGATATAAAAAGGCTGATTGCAGCTTAATGTTTGTAAGAAATAATCATTCTATCAATACAAAATCTTTCATTCTCTCTCTCTAGTTTTATCTCTAGGTTTTCAACATTCTCTGTATTGCTTCCTTCTTCTTCATTCTGCGATTCTGATCTTCTTTGTTAAGATGGTATCGAGCCAGCGTCGATTTTTTTTTTTTTTTGGTGTTTTCTTCCGCTGAGTAATTCTTTGGGGTTGATCATTGAAGGCTTTGTTGGAGTTATTGGAGGATCGGCGACGTTCTTGAAAGCTTGCTGATAGATTTTGTGTCGAGGGTCTTTCAATCAAGTTGTTGGTTTCTGTCTTTACTCTTTACACATCAAGTGTTTGTGTTTTTTGCTTCAGTGAATATATATGGCAAATTGGGATGTTTCGTTTGGTTTTTCATATATGAGTTCTTTTTGGATTCGATTAAGGCTGATGCCAAGATTTGTTGACGATAGAAGAATTGTATTTGTTGTGTGATAAAATTAAAGTCAAACATTTGTGAAATTTCTGAAATATATGCATTTGAAATGTATAAATCTAGAAGGCCGATGACAGGAAGTAGTGAGAATGTCAAAAGAATGAGCTTGTTATCTTGAAGAGTTGATAATTGTTGAAGTTTGGAATTAAACAGATTAGTGATTGACATTGATTGTTAGTGTATGGTGATTTATGATTGAGATTGATTGTTTTAAGAATTAAGCGATAGAGATGTCTGATAAATCAATACATGTTGAAAGTTTGCTTGGTATGTTAACTGTGAAGTTGCAAGATGACAATTTTGTTAAGTTGAATTATCAGTTTCAGTTGGTTTTAAAAGGGTATGATTTCTTTGAATTCTTTACTGGTGAATCTCCTTGACCACCAAAGTTTGTGATTGACACTGAGAATGGAGTGACTACAGAAATCACAGAAGCTTATAAATCGTAAGTTCAGAAAGATATGGCACTATTGAGTCTGTTAATTGCTACTCTGTCGGATGATGCTATGGAATATGTAATAGGGTGTAAAACGTCTCATGAAGCTTGGACAAATTTACAAGACCGATATGCTTATGTGTCAACGGCTAGGATCAATCAACTCAAAATTGAGTTTCATACAATTTAAAAAGGCAGTGATTCTATTGACAAGTATTTGCTTCGGTTGAAAGCCATTCGTGATCAGCTTGTGTCTACAGGGGAGAGGATTACTGATAATGATGTTGTTATTACCACTTTATCTAGATTACCACTGGAGTTTGATATTGTAAAGATTGTAGTTTTGGCAAGGGAGACTTCTATTCCGCTGAAATATTTCAGAGCACAGTTGATTGGTGTTGAATCTACTATGGAAGCAAGGGTCACTACTCTGGCAAGTGGCATGGCTGCAATGTATGTTCAAGGAGATCGGGTCAAAGGTATTCATCAGAATTCAGGGTATTCACAAAAAGAGAGTTCAAATGCTGGATCACGATCTAGTGATACTCAAGGCTATCAAGGGAACAACAGGTTTCAAACCAGAAATGGGTATAATACTTATCAGGGGTATAATACTTCTCAGAACTACAACAAAAGTGGTTATGGGTCTTTCAATAATTCAAGGCCTTACTACAATGGGAATAGACAGCGATGGGGAAACAACTATAATGGTTCTTCTACTGGGAATAGGTCCTCTTGGAGTGTTAATACAACCTTCAAAATAGGTACTATAGTTGAATGTCAAATTTGTTCTCGTAAAGGTCATACTGCTGCAAACTGTTCGAATAGGAGTGATGGTTATCAGGTTACAATCTGTCAAATTTGTGGAAAAAAATGTCATAATGCTTTGGAATGTAGACATAGGAATAACTATTCCTATTAGGGTGCACCTCTACCTTATTCTCTTACTGCATTTTCTGCTCAAGCTTCATCTCACATGACTGCTGCAAAATATGGTCAGAATGTTCAACATTTCTCTGCAGCTGATACATGGGTGTTAGACACTAGTGCTTCACACCATATGGCATCTAATCTTGGGAATCTAAATCAACATGTGCAGTACAATGGTGATGAGAAAATCATTATTGGTAATGGGGAAGGTTTGACTGTTAATCATATTGGTTCTACAACACTTTCAACTCCACAACATTTATTGTTTCTCAAGAATGTCTTACATGTTCCAACCATTAATGTTAATCTCATATCTGTTAAGAAATTGTGTGAAGATAATCATTGTTGGTTCATATGTGATGAGATTGTCTTTTTTATACAGGACAAGGCAAGCAACATGAATGATACTGTACCACGACAAGAGTAGAGGAAAACTATATGAGATCCTTGTGACTGTGTTTTCAAGAAGATTGGTTGCTAGTCAAAATAAAGATGTTGCATTACTTTGGAAAGCTGTAAAGACTTCTGTTTGGCATAAGAGGCTTGGGTACCAGTCTGCAGAAGTGCTTGATGTTATGCTTACAAATGTTGGACAAACTATTAGTGCAGACTCCTCACCTTCTGTTTGTTCTTCATGTCTTTCTGGCAAAATGTGTAGACAACCCTTTCCTGTAAAAAAAAACTAGGGCTAGTTCTACATTTGAAAAAGTACATTCTGATATTTGGGGGCCTGCTCCAGTTAAGTCTTTAGAAGGGTTTAGATACTTTGTAAGTTTTGTGGATGAGTTCTCAAGATTTGTATGGATCTTCCCTATTATCAATAAATCCGATGTTTTCCAAGTATTTGTCAAGTTTTTTGCATTTGTTACAACTCAGTTCAATTATGTAATTAAGTGCTTATAGACAGATGGTGGTTCTGAATATATGAGTAACAAGTTTCATTCTTTTTTGGCACTCAAATGAACTGCACATTCCATATCATGCCCTTACACACCTCAGCAAAATGGTCAGGCTGAGAGGAAACATAGGCATATCGTAGAGACTGCAATCACACTTTTAACTGAGGCTGAGGTCCCATCACAGTTCTGGAATTATGCTTGTAATCATGCTGCATTTATGATCAATAGAATGCCATGTAAGGTTTTGGGGATGAAGTCTCCATATCAGCTACTGTTTAAACAATACCATGTGTTGCATACATTGAAGATATTTGGATCTGCAGTTTATCCATTCTTAAGGCCATATACTCAACATAAATTGCAACCTAGATCTAAGCAATGTGCTTTTCTTGGTTTTGTGGCTGGATATAAAGGGGTAGTATGCTATGATTTAAGTAGCAATAAACTGGTATTGTCAAGACATGTGGTGCATGATGAGACTACATTTCCATTTAAAACAAGACTGCAGTTGTTTTCTGGGAAGTCAAATAAGGTCCAGAGTATAACAATGTCTCCAATCATTGTTCAAATGCCATGTTTTGCTCCTGATCCAACTACAACAACATCTCCAACACATGAAGAGTCATATCCAAATCCAGAAATTATGGAAGAACGATCAAGGGATAGCTTACAGGTTCAAAGCTCATCAAGTCAAGATTCACATAATCTCAATGCTCATACTCATAGCTCTCTTCCTCTCTCAACATCAACTCCAAGTACAATATCATTGCTGCCTGTCCATAGTCCTTCCCAGTTAGAGGTAATACTACCAATCTCTTCTCATGTGGTTGAAACTAATGAAGAATCAGCTCATAATTTGGTCACCAGGTTGAAGTCAGGTGCAATTTCAAGAAGATCTTACACAAGTTATATTGGCTCATTTCCAGAATTACAAACACTACAGATAGATAATGAGTGTGACTTTACTAGGGGTTTTTCATTTATTGTTGCAATAAAAGATTTGGAGGAACCATCAACATTCAGAAAAGCTTCTACAAGCCCACATTGGCAAAGTGCAACGCAAGAAGAGTTTAATGCACTCAAAGCTCAAGGAACTTGGCAATTGGTTCCTTCTCCACCAAACAGAACCATTATTGGAAGTTAGTTTGCTCCTTGAAATTTGAAAGTTGTTTTTATAAAACTCACAATTCACTCCACATTGCCTTAAATCTGTTAGTTTCTTATGTGGGTTTGATTTTGGTGAACTAGACCAATCAAATTTATTGCACATATGACATAGTCTTTTTGGGTGTTGGGTTTGATATTATATATATATATATATATATATATATATATATATATATATGTTTCAGAGAGAAGAGAGAGTCAACAAGTCAAAAGAATGAATTTTGTCAATGAGTAAAATGATGATTTTTAATTTATAGGGAGCAAAGTGAAATTAAAATGGAGTTTCAAAAAGCGTACCTAAAAATAAATTTTTTGTTAATAAGTAGTTTAGATAATAGGGTACGCTATTCACACATCTCATTTTACTTATTACGTACCCTATTAATTTTTATCTTTTATTTTTTTTCAATTCATTCGATTCAATTCGATGACTAAAAATTAATAAAATATTTGAGAAGCAACACTCCTTGAAAATATAATGTCACGTGCAGATGGTATGAAACTTCCCTAGTTCCATCTGAAGTTCTCCACGACCCTAGTTACAACATTAAAAACACGGCGAAAGTACATGTGGTTGGTTTCCAGTTGAAGATCGTTGAGTTGAGTCTCCGTAGGTCGGATGGCGCCAAAGCTCTTAGCAACTTCCCCGTTTGTAGGAATTGCAGTACTCGTCCCCCTCATAGCTCTCTTCGCCTTCTATTACAAGCCCTTCTCCCAACAGGTCAGAGATCCCCAAAAGCTCATTCTTTTGTTTCTCTTTTTCCTCACAGAAAACCGAACTCCCCAGCTGAAATTTTTTCATGGTTTGGGGAGCTGAAGAAACTCCAAGATTCGATTTTTCTTGGGTTTTCTTTGGAGAATTTGTCTGTGAATTTAATTTCCGAGATGGGTTTTTGATTTGTTTGGTTGGGTTGGATTTTGAATGTTTGAAATTACAGTGCAAAAGTATGTGACTTTATGTTGTTGTTGTGAATTTATAGAGATTGTTCACTGTTGAAGAACTGGCTTTGTACAACGGGACTGATGTGAGTTTACCGATTTTCCTAGGAATTCTCGGGTACACTTTTCGTTTTCTCTCTGTTTAGATGTATGTATTTGCACATAATGCAGCACCCTAATGCAATTCAAGCACCCAAATGTGTGCATTATGCTAGCTTGGTTAATTATTTAGAACTAAGAGATTGAAGTCTCTTGCCGTATTGAATTTGGGCAATCAAGTAGAGCATTTTATATGGTTCCTAAAAATGCCTTGTGAGTATGCACTTACTGATTCATGTAAACTGATCAATATTTTGTGATCAGGTCAGTTTTCGATGTGACGAAAGGAAAATCTCATTATGGTGAGGGTGGGGGGTACAATCATTTTTCTGGAAGGTTTGTTCTCTTATGTAATCCTTTTGAACTTGCATACTTAAATTTTGTCCTCAGTATTGATGTTTTCTCGATTTTTCCCCAAAACAAAGGTTCGGATTAGTTGTGCTAGTCCAAAATTGTTATCTTTTACATCAATTTCGTTGTTATGGTTCATAACTTGTGAAATGTAACAATTCTTTTATATCGTTTTATGCTTTGTATCTGTGATTCTGTATAGACTTATATATTAACAGCTGTTTTCTTTCGCGTGCAACCCTGCAATCAATCAAGAGATGCTTCACGAGCATTTGTTTCAGGAAACTTTACAGGTAAACAAAGGTTTGGCTTCTTTTTGTCGCTTCTAATTGGTGATGATTTTATGCAAGTTCAAGGTTTGATAGTTTATGGGCTTGCCTTTGCATTGATTATAAGCTCATTTTCGGGGGTTTGATGGAAAGTAACTCTTGACGCTATTAAGTGTTAATGTTATAGTAGTAATATAGTATTTGACATTTTTTTATATTGCAGGAGATGGCCTCACAGACTCGTTACGTGGTTTATCAAGTACACAGGTAACTCGTCCTTTTTTCTTCTCTTTCTATCCTGGTGTTTTCGGAACCATGCTAGGTTATAAAGGAAGAAAAACTGCTAAAACTTAGGACAGTGTCTATCAAAAATCACTACATATTGAAATCACCGGTTACACAGTAGAAACCAACGTGGTGATGGCATGCCCAATTCACCCTATGAATTCTCATTCAACGATCTATGGAGTTAGTAACGCTCACCCACACTTGAAGATTCTCTAATGCCAAATTACAGCCCAACTGACTTGTAGTCTGTAGAGTCATTACGTCTAACATGAAATCATTACTGTATGGATTGAATCGAACCTATCTTGTCGTGTCATGCTTTGCTATAGTGTATTTATGTCTTTTCCATTTTCTGACATATCCACCTTCAACATGGCATGTTTTGTGACTTTTCTTGATGAAGTTTTGCACTATCGGCCCTTTTTTATTTTTTCACTTTTAAACAGAATAACAATATTAATGGACTAATACGTAATATTCAATCTCGTACTACTTGGTTTGGCTGCATATCTGGGAATGTGATATGCTAAGTTTCATTAGTTGCTACAAGTTTGATTGTTTTGGTTTTGGTTTTGTTCTTTCGTATTTTTCAGGTGAAGAGTGTCGTTGAATGGAGGGATTTCTACTTTAAAAGTTACACGTGAGTTACAAACATCTGTCTGCTATCTTTGTATTTTGATGATGTCAGAAGTTTGAAGATACTGGAAACACAGTCCTATTCGCCAATCTGTTTACTACTATTTAAACAGTGGGAAACATCTTTGGAGTTTAATAGTTTACATCTACTACCAAAATTTTGATTAAATAAAATCGAAAAGTTTACCACAAATCCCTCAAACTTTCTTTGAGGTGGGCAACCCTATTACGATGCAATGTCATCATCATATCCGCTTTTATATGCCCGTGATTGTTTTTATAATAAGAGATATTTGTGTCTTTCCGAATTTCATATTGCTTTTTCCTTTGAATCATTTATCTTGTATTGTAAATGTATAGCCGTTCACAGTTCACAAGACAGACCCAGGTGCCTTGTCCTGTGTCAACCTCGATACTCTTTCTTTCGTTCACCATTTTGTTTCAGCGAAGTTGTCATGTCAAATATATTTGAACTAGATTTGTTTTTGCTTTTCATTATATTGGTATTAGATCGACAGGATAATGATATTTTGTAACTGATCTTTCATGGCTTTGAATTGTCAGATTTGTAGGGAAGCTAGTAGGTCGTTACTATGATTCTCAAGGAAATCCTACAAAATATTTGAAGGGAGTGGAAGCAAAGGCTGCGAGAGGTGCTCAGCTTTTGGAGAAACAGGAGAATGAAGAAGCGAAGCAACCTGGTTGCAACTCAAGGTGGAGTCAGGATGAGGGTGGAGAGGTACGTATCGCTCTGAATTGGAAACATAGATCGAGAACCAAACACTACTTGTGCTCTCTTTCAGTTCTTATCATGTAACTTTCGTTATGTGTTTCAATATTGCGCTACATCTTAGATTTCTACCTGTTTGATTAGGTTTGGTGCGATGAGGGTGTCCCAAGGTTAGTTCAGAGACCGCTACAAATGGCTTTGACTGGGAAAATGAGCACACGATGCGCATGCTTTAATGAAGATCAACTGGACCGACCGGGGTTAAAGATCTACGAAGGATGTGATTATCTTGCCAAGACCTGCCGAGTATAAATGAGATCCGTTCTGGAACTTCCACGTTAGAGTATATCGTTCTACAGCTGATGCCGCCTCACATGGTTGTTGAAGAGGATGAACGAGGGCGGAGTAACAGAAGCATTGTTGATGTGTTAGGTCTGCAATTTTCCACCTTGCATTACATGGATTTTACAACAAGAACAAAGACATGTGTATTTGTATGTTTTCTTTTAATTTATATTGTGAATTATGTTTTCTTGCTTCAAGATAATCAATCAATCAACAAACGTTTCTAAGGCTCGATGGGGTCATGTTTGTTTGCATAGCTCTGTGTGGTAAATTGATGAGAATGTTGGGGGGTTAACAAATACTGGAGGGGCGGCAACCGGGTTTTTACTCGAACTAGTTTTGGTCGTACGATTTTAGCAGGGTTAACCATTTAGTTTTTAGCTTTTGTTTTCAAGCTTATTGAAAACTACTTTCAGTGTTCAATATTATCTTAACAAACGATGTTATCTCCACTAAGGAGGTGGAGAAGTGAGCTGAGCCTAACAATGGGCTAGCAATAATGTAGTTCAAATTCGTCTTTGATGAGAATCGAATCTAAGATTTTTCACTTATAAGTAAATAGGAATACTACTAGACCGTAGTACTAAGACCACCTCCAAATGAGATGTCAAATCCTAAGTGGAATGTCATGTAATCAAATTTGAAGAAGCTCCTATGTGGATTGATATATGAGTTTTCATATATCAAATTTGACATATGAGAAAATGTGATGTCAAATAATTTTTAATTATTTTATTATATAGGTTCCATTAATACACCAATTATAGTTCTTGAAAACTTATTTTAATTGATTTCTTTTTAAAATGGATCCTACAAATATCATTTATAACAAAAAAAATATATCATTTGGAAAAAAAAAAGATCTAACATTACCACATCAGCCATCAAATTAACAATTGACATTTATTTTATGACATCTTCTTTGAAAATACTCTAAGTAACACTTGAAACATGAGTTAGTACTAAGTCAAAAAATAATACCACTAAATATATCGTCTTGTGTTCCAGATTCATGGAAAATCTCTAATTGGTAAAGAATATTGTTCGTGTCAATACCAAAGCCCAATTCCCAACCCCAATGACTCGTCATTTTACATGTCATTTTCCCAACTCTCATGCTCCTTATTCTTCGTCCTTTTTCTTTCTTCTTTCAATATATTCATTTATTAATCCGTAACCAGAATGAAAAAAATAAAGGACGAATTAGACTGAAAAGAAATAAAAAAGAATGGGAGTAAGAATGAGATTGGTTCCATATAAGTTATTTACTAATTTACCTAAATCGGAATTAAAAGTAACTTAATTACTAAATTACCCTTGTTTAAAACATTTTTCAAGCAAATTAATGAAATTTAACTTTATATCATTAATAATTTATCAGGTAAGGTTTTCATTTAATAAAAAGTTATTTAACAAAGAGCTAGTTGTTGGTTTTTTCCCTGAACTTGTATAGAGTTGCCAATTTTCATTCTGAATTGTAATTTTAGCCGATTACCTCCTTGAACTTTGTAATTAGTCCATTTTCTCATTGAACTTTAACTTTAGCTTATTATTCCTCCTAAAATTTTATAAATAGTCAATTTCCCCCTATTGTTAGATTTAAAAATTTTTCACCCATCAAATTTTCCCTTTTTTTTGTCCCATACAGTTGTCATATGTTGCATGCATGATCAATAGATGAAAAATTAGATGAATTTTTTTAAGATCTAGCATTAGAGAGAAATCGGTTATTTATAAAAATTCAAAGAATAATAAGCTAAAATTAAAATTTAAAGTAAAACTTGGCTAATTAAAAAAATTCAAAAAAAATAGTGGGCTAAAATTAAAGTGCAAGAGAAATCGACAGCTCTATGCCTTTAATAAAAAAAAAAAGAAGAGTTGTACGTACTTGACCACTTGGTCCCGATCTCCCAGCATCCGGGAAAGGATCCTCTTCAGATCTATTTTGTAGGGATGATAAAGATATTTACATCTTAATCATTCATGGTATACTCTGTGATTAGATTTCGTTTAATATTATTTATGTTTAATTTCAAATAAAAAAAAATCAAATAATTAAGATGTGACAATCCTATACAGCCCTCCCACACAGTCCCACTTGCCCAGATGCATATATTAGACCCCCACGCCTCCCCCTTTCATCCTCAATAAATTCTCCTTCTTGTTAATAGCTTCTGCAAGCAACCAGGAGGACAGGGTCGAGTGGCCTTAGCCAAAGTCCTCCATGGAAATTGGTGGGTTCGGAGAAGACGATATGGGCGTTTGCCGGCGGGGTGTTGAAGTTGTAAGGTTATTCCATCGGAGGGCGTGCAATTCCATTTCCTCCCACTTCATTCCTCCTTCGTAATCCTCTTCTTCCAATCAAACCTTTCCCGGAAGGCACAGCAGCCCCAGGTAAGTTAAATCAAGTTTTTTAAGTCAACGTCCATTTTTTTTCAGAGAATTATTATTATTATTATTATTTTTTTTTATTTTTTTTTTCATGAATTCTGTACATGCTATATGAACTCCAGCTACAACTTACTCTGAAAGTTAAATTCAATCCTAAATTAGAGTTTAATTTTAAGGTCTAAATTCTTAGTTTAGGGTTTTAAGTTTTGGTACAATCCTAAATTAGGGTTTAATTTAAGGTGTAGATCCTTAGTCTAGGTTTTAAATTTTGGTAGATTTTTTTTTTTTTTGCTGCCAGGGAGAACGAAATTGGTTTGGAGGTTTTAGCCTTCCCGAATAGTTGGTGATTTGGGCTCCGCCCCCGTTGCTTTAACATGTCGGGTCTTCAGAAGCGGCGGCAGCAGCAACCAGTCCCCACGGATGGCGGATTTCTTGAACGACCCCTGATTGAGTCTGATGATATCATAATTGATATACTGTCAAGGCTACCAGTGAAATATTTGATCCAATTGCGGTGTGTATGCAAGTCATGGCGCTCTTTGATCTCTGATTTGCATCTTGTTAGGAAGCACCTGAGACGGGCAGTGACAGGGGTTAACCGTAATAGCTATAGGCTTCTTATTTCAGACAGTCCTTTCCAATCCATAGACTACGAAGCACTCAAGGATGTCAGTGTATGTGTGCAAAGCTCTTTTCTTTGTTTTCAATTGCCAGTAACGCTTGAACGTATGAGTGTTGTGGGTTCTTGCAATGGCTTGATATGTCTAAAAGGAAACAAAGGCGAAGTTCTCTTATGGAACCCTTGTACCAGAGTTACCAAAATGTTACCAGGAATTGCTTGTTTTTATTTTTGTCCAAAGTTTTATGGATTTGGTTATGATTCCACCATTGAAGATTACAAGGTTATATTGGGTGGCGAATCTACAACTGCAGATGGCATGATGATTGCGGTCTTTACACTAAAATCAGGTTTGTGGAGGACTAAACAATACCTTGACTCTTTTAAATTGCATGGGCAAGGGTGCTTGGTTAACGGAGCTCTACATTGGGTAGAGCTTAAATGGAGTGGGGAGGAGCTCCGCCCTGTACTTAGTTCAAGAATCATCTCTTTTATTTTGGCGGAGGAGAATATTGTGCCGCTGCCCTATCTTCACATCCAAAGTTATATCTCCATTCGTATTGGGACTATTGCAAATCGTCTCTTTGCATATTTGTTCAATGACGTCAGTTTGAGTGATATTGCAATAACAGTATGGGTGATGAAGGATTATGGTGTCCATGAATCTTGGACTAAAATCATACAAATTCCTTTGAAGTCGTTACGTCAAATAAGTATGAATTTTGTGAATATTATCTGCATTTTAGAGAATGATGAAGTTTTGATGAGTTGTGATTCAAGTTACTTGGCTTTATACAATCCAAAGGAAAATACATTGACGAAGGTTCTTAAAACTCCTACTAATTTGTTGACTGAAGCAACTATGTATGTGGAGACCTTAGTTTCACCAGTAATTGGTGGTGGCGCCAACATCTGAAACCAATGATGTAAGTCTCTTCACTCTATCTAACTGATATTTTGCAGTTTTGTCTGGAACGACATAATGTTGAGTGGCTTCTATAAGTGTTTAACCTGAACAAATAAGATTCGATATTTAAGTTTTTACTCGGTGTTTGAAATATAGCAGTTGTTCAAGCACTATTTAGTTCTTTTTAGTTGATATATTTTAGTAGTTTGCAAGTTGCTTTCGTGGATTTGGAGGACATGCTAGAGACAAATTGTGCTTTTTATTTGTTTATATTAAAGGGAACTTCATAGTAGATTATGGGCTTGTTTGGCGAGTGCTTTTAAATGACTGAATGCGTTTTTAGAGAAAATGTTTTTAGTTCCAAAAGCACTTGAAGTGCTTCCTGAAAGAAGCCCTCGTGTAAAAGCACTTGCCATTAAATTTTTGTTTTCTGTACTTTCTGGTCGTTTTCATACTTATAAACCCATTCTCTCTTATGAGTGCTATCTGGTTCAACTGCATAAATTTTGGGAATACGATGTGCCAAATCATTAATATTTTGGTGTAATATTAATGTGGCTTATGGTTAAACGATTTTTTTTTTAATTTCTTCCCAAACTGCTGTCTGCCTAGTCTCTAGTTCACTTAAATTGTAAGTTTATACTTGATATCTGTTTCCATGTGATAAGCACAATAAGCTTGTCCGTTCCTCTTCCATTTTGTTACAGGAAAGTCATCCCATCTGATCTATCTGAACTTGATTTGTTCTTGTCTTCATTTTAATGGTTTCAGGTTAGATTTAACTGTTCAGTTAGGTTTGGTACGATGAGGGCGCCCCAATGTTAGTTCAGAGACCGCCAGAAATGGTTTTGATGGGGGAAAATGAGCACGCGGTATGCATGCTTTCAAGAAGACCAACTGGAGCAACCAGGGTTGAAAACTACGAAGGATGCGATTATCTTGCCAGGACCTGACCTGCCAAGTTTGAACACGATCCGTTCTGGAGCTTACACGATAGAGATCTAATATATCCTACATCTGATGCCGACTGGCAAAGTTGTTGGAGGAGGAATGGAGGATGAACAAGGGCGGAAAGAGAAGCATTGTTAACGTGTTTTCCTCCGAGCAGTACATGGATTTTATAACTGTACATGTATATTCGTATGTTTTCTTTTAATTTATACTCAAACTTGTATATTCTTGTTCGATAATCAATCAAAAAACATTTTTAACCCTTGATTGGTCATGTTTGATTGCGTAGCTTCTTGATGAAGTCTCCTAGTGTAGGTCTTGCAAAGGGGCAAGTGGGTAAAACTAATATAGCAATACCCCTCAATTGTAGGTCTTCTTTCCGGACCTGGATTGTCTGCCCTCCTCTAACCCATACCCTTCCCATCCCTTCTGTTTCTGTGATTACAGTTAAGTCATGTTAATATTTTATATTGATTTTCTATAAAAATGATAAGACAAAAAGCAATGAGAATATAAAATGTTGACGTGGCTTAATCGTGACCACAAAAATAAGAGGTAATGGGGGAGGGCAGACAATCAAGGTAATTTTATATTGATTTTTTTATAAAAATAATAAAACAAAAGGCAATGAGAATATAAAATGTTGACGTGGTTTAATCGTGATCACCGAAATAGAAGGAGATAGGAAGGGCAGACAATCCAGATCCCTTGTTTCCTATGAACTTTCGATTTGGTTAGGAGTGGTACTCAACTTTCAGTTTGTGTCAATTTCCTCCTTATTAGTTTTGTCAATTATTTCGTCAAATTGAGAGATATTTTTGTTCAATTTGTGCGGTAAAAGACTTTAAATTTGTTAGAAATGCGTAAGTTTCAATAAAATTCCGTAAGTGTCAATTCCCCTTAAGCTGTTCTCTCATCGTTCAATCCGGATCTAAGATTTACTAAAAATTTATACATCTAAAAGTTCGTCATGTGCATTGAAGTGACGGAATTAACAAAAAATTGATGGTCCTGAGTATTACCAGAATTGAAAGTTGTGACGGGCATCTAGAAATGGTTTCGCCGGCAACTGAAGCAACCACCAGTCCCCTCCGATGGTGTACTGACTCTACTCCTTCAACCAGTTCCTCTCACCGACTACAATGACATCATTGTTGAGATCCTCTCAAGGCTCCCTGTCAAATCTTTACTCCAGTATCAGTGTGTGTGCAAGTCATGGCGCGCTTTAATCTCCGACTCTCATTTGTCACGAAGCACCTCGGCCACGCTGTCCTCGCACGCATCAACAACACCAGAAACTTCATCATCTTTCTCTCATCCAAGCATTGAAATACGATGTAGAGAGAGCCTACAAACGGGAATGAAACTCCATATAAATATATCTCATGTATATAAAAAATGTATATAAAATATAAAGATATAAAATTCGTTTGAAAATACTTTTAAATTGATTAAAATTATGTTTGATAAAATTGCTTTTAAAAACAATCTTAAAAAAATTAAAGGAAGATATTGGCAGGGGAAATTGGCAGCATGAAAATAGACAAATACCTCTAAAATTTTAGAGTAAATTGTAATAATGTTCTTTCAACTTTAACCAAATTTGATCAATGATCTCTCAATTAAAAATTTATTATTATTGGTCGTTTAACTCATCAAAAAGTGTAGCTATGGTTATTGTTGTCAACTTCATTAGAATTTTATCAAAATGAATTATGTTGGAAAGATCATTACTACAATTGGGTTAAAGTTGATGGATCATTTCTCTAATTAGGTTAAAGTTGAGGGACCATTTTTTCTGTTGAATTAAAGTTAAGGGATCATTAGCAATTGATTTTTAGTTGAGAGACAATAACTGCACGTTTTGATAAGTTGAGGAATCAATAATAATGTATTTTTACAATTTATTTAAATTGAGTTAAATTGAAGGATCATTGCTATAATTTATTTAAAATTTTATTTTAATTTTTGAAAACCCCACCGCCACTTTCTCCAAAATTTGGCGCCTGTTCTGCCTTCATCTCGCTCTGTTCGTCTCCCTCTCGCACAGCCGCAGAGATCACAACACCACCTGCAAAACGACGCCGTAACGAAGCCAAGATGGTATTCCTCCACCAGCAAATCCCTTCCCGCAAACGGCCGCCCCCCTCTTCTTCCGCCCCATCTTGCCCTCCCCCCAAATCTTCTAAACCCACCGCCACTGCGAACTCAAGCAATCCAACCCCAAACGACGCCGTCGAAACCCCAGACATCGATAAAATGGTCTCTATTTTAGCCGACGCTGGCTGCACCCTCCTCAACCACTCCGGCCCGCCGTGCCTCCCTTCGGACCTACACAAGCTCCGCCGCCACCTCCACCGCACCTTTTCCTCTTCCGAAAATGCCTCTGTTCTTCTCTCCGATTTCCTCGCCGGCCTCTCTTCCTACATCAACACACCTAAAAACCTCCGCAGGTGAGTAACTTCCTCGACTACTTCTAGTCTTCAGTTTCAAAATTTTCTATTTCCTGTTTGGCTGCCGAGAAAATCTAACGGAAAATTGCTCCTACATTTTCAGGATTCTCACCGCCTCCACCAGAAGCGAGAGCGTACTCCGCCACTTGCTGTTGGTGCCCACTATCCAGTTGCAAATTCAGAACATGCTTCTCGAGAAGCTTCCAGAATATTTCCACGCGTATACGCAACATTCCGGTCCGTCTCTGTCCCTCGAAGACGACGTCGCTAGGCTGATCATCAATCACTTCCGGTGGCTGGATTTTCTTGTTGATCCGAATGCATTGGCCGAGAAATTGATGCAGGTTCTTTCGATTTGCCCTCTGCATTTGAAGAAAGAGATAATTGGATCGTTGCCGGAGATCATCGGCGATCAGAATAACAAGACTGTGGTTGAAGCTCTCGAGAAATTGCTTCAGGAGGACTCGGCTGTAGTTGTGCCGGTGCTCGATTCCTTTTCGAACCTTAATTTGGATCCAATGTTGCAGGAACAGGTTTCACATTATCCTTTATTATCTGTTTGGTTGGTCAGAAAATTGGGAATATCAAATTTTCTATGAAAATGAGAAAACAAGAAACTTCATTTGACTTAGAAAGAGCATGATTGAATATTCCCAGTTTACGGGTTGCTATTACACGTACATAGGATTGAAGTTTTCTCTTTTGAATATTCTAGCTGCACCTGACTTTAAATTTGCTTCAATTTGAAGGTAACCACCATAGCATTGTCATGCATCAGAACAATCGAGGCAGAGCACATGCCTCATCTGCTTAGGTTTCTACTGCTTTCAGCAACACCATCAAATGTCCGGAGAATAATCTCACAGATTCGACAGCAGTTAAAATTTGTTGGGGTATCAAATTATCGCACATCACAACAAAAACTCAAGGGAAAGTCACATGCCGACAACACCGAGGCTTCTATTCTTGATGCCTTGAGATCAAGTCTTCGATTTAAGAATGTATGTCTTCTGCCAGTTGGTCCTTAAAAGAAAATTTTTGCTCCTTATAAATTTCCCCTAAATCATATATTTGCTTCCATACGAGTTGTGTAGATACTGTGTCAGGAGATTTTGAAAGAATTGAACAGCCTAGAGAAAGCTCAGGATCACAAAGTCATCGATATATGGTTACTGATGCTGATATACATGAATGGTGAATCCCTGCAAAGGAGCGTCGAAAAGCTATTCAAGAAGAAAATTATTGAGGATTGCATTCAGGAAGCTATGTTTGATCAATGCATTCATGGACACAAAGAGCTTGTACAGGTATCTGTGGTCACGATCTGGTATCAAGGAATGGATTCAGTCTGAAATACAAAATTAAGTGGTGTTTCTGTAGCCTTATTTGATTCTGCTTTTTTATTTGTTGTTAGGATTATTTTCTATCTTTTATTTCTCTGTCCGAGTACTTGTTGGCTTGCAAGGAGCAAAAATCCAGGGAGTTTGGCATGCATATCTATGTTTGTCTTTTTGAGGAGTTTGCCGATATGTATTCCAGACAGGAAGTAAGTGGCCTATATATATATATTCTTTGTTGGTTATATGATATTTAAAATAAAGGTCTATTCTGTGACTACTATCATGACTTTCACAGGTTCTTGGCTCGCTAGTTACCCACGTGGGCTCTAGTGTGGGTTTTGAAGTTGGTTCTGCTTTAGAGACCTTGGCTTTGCTAGCCTCCAAATATGCACAGCAGTTAATTCCTCTTTCTTCTCATATTAGCGGTATGATATTAGTCTGTGGTTCATGTTGATTTGTTGGACTCTGGAGTAATTGTTTTCCAAGAAATGCATGATGAGTTCTTTGTTCCGCAATCCAGGTATTTTGGATTACTTAGAGGGATTTAGTGTTGAAAATCTGCACAAGGTAGGATGCTACATTTCTTTATCATTCTTGGCACAAAAGTGTTGAATCACCATTTCACTGGCCTTACTACAGTGCAGGTCTACGAGATTTTTGGCCATCTGGCACTTTTGGCTCGGTCTAGTGCAGAATCTTATGGTTCTTCCTTTGCGAATGAACTTTTGATGATAGTACGCAAGCAGGTACCAAGAATTATTTTCTTTTCATTTGGAGCACTTCAACATAAACATGATCAAACGTCTTTGAACCACACATTTATGTATGATCATTTTTTTACACTTTCTGGTAATCCAAATTGATCTATTCCATCCCTCTGTTGGGCAGGTCACTCATCCTGATCTGAACTACAAGAAGATGGGCCTGGTTGGAACTCTGAAGATTGTTTCCTGTCTAGGAGATGCAACTGATGTTACCTGTCCATCCCCATCTCAAGTAAGAGCCAGCAGCATTTCAGTTTCACTCTTCCATAGTTAGGGGCACATACTGTTAGTAAGATAGTAATATTTACAAATTCTTTTTAATAATTAGAGGAAACAACGAAAATATGGAAACCTGCAAAATACATTTTAATGTGTCCAGGTGGGTTCACTTGTACTATTTTATATTGTCAATATAGTTAACATCAAATATTTTTTGGTTTCCAAAATTTTTATTAAGGGACGTCCGTTCACCATTATTAAACACATTGACTACAGAAATCTAATTGTGACGAGGCACTGGAGCTCTTGAAGACTTCTTTGGATTCTTGCAGACAGCTGCCCTTACCTTTGATCATGTTTTATGACGAACTGACTGAAACGTTGGATTGTAGATCACTTCATCCAACAGTTATAGAATGGTCAGTTGGTTTCAAAAGCTGGTGTTTTCTTTGTTATCGTGTTAGCAATTTAATTTTTTTTACAAGTAATTGTTCTTTATTTGGAAGAAAACTAATCTGCATATTTCAGGATTGGGAAACATGTAGGAGAGTTTGAATCCCTGTTTCTGTCTGATCTTGATGGTGGGAATTTGGCTGTTAAGGACTCATATTGTGGTTTAGAAGGTGATTCTGTGATGCAATATTTCGTCCTCTTTTTTTTTTTGTTGTTTTGTTTTTGCCTTTTTTTTTTTTCCTGATGCTACTTAAGATTGTGCTGTATAAGAAATTAATTGTGGGTGAATTAAAGTTGCCATTCTTTTTTTCATTGTAGGGGAGCTGTGGATGAACTTGGATGGTGATATATCACCTATTTGTCTAAACATTTTGCCATTGGCTTCCTGTACATTGCAGTAATATTTTGGCCATACATTATATTTATTATTGTACATAAGGTTTTCTCCACTTGATATCTATGATTGCTGAAGTTGGAATCTTGTTGTGTGCAGGTCTTCTTCTTCTTTACAAGTTCTTCCTGCTAACTTCCTTTTATTAGCTGCAGTAAGTGAAAGGTGGTTATGGCTGATCTGATTATGACCTCTGTGATAAAACTTTAAACTTTTTTGTCAATTTTCAGATTGAAAGGTTGACAAACCAAGGATCTCTTGGTGGAATTGATGCACTACTTGGCTGCCCTTTGCACCTGCCTTCATCTAAGGTCAGGCGAAGTAAAATGCTTTTGTCAACAGCGTCCACTAGTTAGACTTTGGTTTATACTAAAGTTTCTTACAGTTGAAGCTGCAATCCACATTTTAAGTTTGTAGAAAAATATCCCTGATTAACACTATAAGTCGCACACATGTTCAGATACAGGCACAGAGAGATTGCTCCAACTAACTTACTTACTGCAGAATTTGAGAATTATTATTTTTCCATAAAATGAACTAAGATATTATTGTTAGTTGGTTTGGTTTCTCAAATTTGTGTAGCCTGCCAGTGTTGGTGGCAATGTCCTACTCTGACATGTGCTGACTTGTGCATAACCAGTATTTATTCGGATCTGAGTGGAAGTCTCTGACAGGGAAGCAGAAACAGATTATATGTGCGTCTCTATATTATGCTGCCAATTGGATACGGGAACTAGTAAGTGAAAAAGCTTAAAAGATATTACCTTGCATTTAAATTGTGGTTTCTGACTCTTTATGTGCCATGCTAGCTCAATGCCTTCTGTACACAAGTTACTGGGAGATTTGAATTTACGAGCCAGGCCACAAAGGGGGATATACTTTCCAAGCTAATGAAGCGCTTGAGAAACCTTGTGTAAGTTATTGTGGTGTTAATCACTTGAAAACATGTTTTTAAATTTGTAAATCAGCTTTCTTGTGTACATGAACTAGCTTGTTTATTACAACCTCTTGATCCCTGAGTACTGATGGAGACAATCTTAACAATACAGATTCTTGGAAAGCATATTAAACAATTGTATTGAGAGGTGCTCTCTATCTCTTCCTGAACTTCATCCTTATGCTGATATTTACCGATCTTCCCTCTTAAGCCAACCTCACCATATGGTGAACATTGAAAAGAAAATTGAGCATAAGAAAACACATGAGGCCACCTCTCCAAGAGGCATGAAGAAAAACAAAAAGACCTCAAAAGTATCAACAACATCAGATACCAATGGGAAACTCCGGCAGCCCACATTATTTGATGTCTTGGAGAAGGCAGGAGTTCTAACAGGCCAAGAGGTGCCAAATCAAGAATCTTCTTGTTTAACGTCAAACAGCAGGTCATATGAGTCATCAGAGAAAAATTCTTCCGACTCTAACGAGGCTGCTGTCATAGAAATTTCTGCCATTGCCAAGGCTATCGATGCTCAGAGATTTAAGTTCAGACCTCTGCTGGTTCATTGTTATTCCATTTTGGGGTTTGCAAAGGTATTATGCTTCGTGATGGTTGGCCTCTAATAAGGTGTTCTTATGGTATTGATTTTGATTAACCACACTTCTAGGCCACTGCATTCATTAGTGTCACTGTTCAGTATTAGTGAAGGAAGGTGATTCTCATAGCCCAATGCACAGGTCTTCAAGTCCAAATAGAAATCATAAATCTGATACTCTTTTTCTGAATGTGGCCACCTCTTGGTTCAAAACTCATTCTTAATTAGATTTTGGCAAGAGGTTGTGAACTTGTACATTAGAGTGAGTAAAGTTATTTATATTTCTTTTCTTTAAAATGCAAGCAATGGATAAAGGTACTGTTGAAAAGTGTGGAGTATTAGTATCAAATGGTCTACTTTGGAGTGATTTGTCTTGCTACATATTAATTCAAATGACAATTGGTTAGGTGTCAAACGACGCACTAACAGAGTCCCTAGCATTTCTTGATCTTGTTTTACAAGATTTGCAGTGTATTTGAAATTTTGATTAGAACCATTATGCAATTTTTATTTTAGTTTTTCATGTATTTTATGCAGAGTGAAGCATCCTGTTGTGTTGATGCTGCTGCTGAGGTACCCACCAACTTGAGTCATTTTTGTTATATGTCGTGAACAAAGTTATAAAGTTATAACATTCATGTCCATTTTTGCGGGTGCTAGTTACCTCTATATCTGTACCTTCTGCGTGATCTTCACTACAAGCTGTATTACTTAAATCCTGGAAAACAATTATGGGGCAGAGGCTTGAGTCCTCCAGTTGGGTTCACCAGGATGACAGTGGATGAATTCTTGAGCAAAGTTAAACCACTCTTTCCAAGTATTAAGAGCCATTTTGATAGTGCACTTTTAGTACTTACGGAAGGTAAGAAAGTGAAGTCCAAATTTGATGGATACACACTAGAAGGATGCCACTATCTTCTTTTAATCTTTGAGCATCACTCTGCAGGTGATGAAACTTGTGAAGAACATTGGAATATTCAATCTACTTCTGCTGGAAATCCAGACATTCCCAATCTTGTACATTCAAAAACTGCAGTTTCTACTTCAATATTCAAAAAAGTGCTTCATTGTTTCAATGCGGTGAAATTCCATTACCTTATCTATCACCTCAATGAAATGGCATCTCTTTCTGTCTCTGTATTGTGTGTGTGTGTGTGAGACCTCCCATCCTTAGCTGATAACTAAATGAGTACTTACACTGTTACACACAAATTTTATGTTTGAAATGAAAACTACTAAATCTTTTGCTTTGGTTTTTTAAATTACAGATATTAAACCTTCCTCGTATTCAGACAGACAAGCCAGCTCTCTCATATCTGCTAGAAGCATTCCAGCCTACCAAGATCCCAGATAGTTTTTTGGAAGGGATACAGCTTAACCTTTCCCCTGGGACTTCAGAATATTTATATTTTGGCGCTTATTCATTTTTTGAAGGCGTCTTGGACATAGGTACATAACTTCATTCTGTTTCCTCTTAGTGTTCAGGGTGCTCATTGATTGTCACTTTTTATTAGGCCACTTACATAACTTCATATGCCCCCTGCAGCATGCTCTCTCTCTTTTATGCTGGCGTCAGAGTCACTTTTTACTCTAGAATCAATTGTATCATCGGTCCACAAATTCATCAGCAAGATGGAGGGACTTGGTAAAAACATGCACTCAGGATTTGTCCAGGAGGCTCTTCCTACTTTGCGCAAGAAACTTGGTATTTCTGCCGAGAAGATTTTAAAGCATAGATTTGATGAAAATCTTGAGAATGGTGGGAAGTGCAAAGTGAGCAAACTATGTTTCTAGCTCTTATTTCTTGCACATGCTTGGAAATATATTTGATCCATATTATGATGTGTGTATGCTTGTCAATTTTTATTTTCTAATTTTTTCAGGGGGAAATGGTACAGAAAATATTGCGCATTTACCTAGAAAATAGAGATTCCACTTCTGATCGGCTGGAACAGCTAGCCTGCACTATTTTGCCTGAGGTGCATATTTTTGTTATGGACCTTGGTCTCTTAAGAGTTTCGGTAGACACTATTTTTCTCAATTTGTTTTAATTCTGCATCGAAGAACTGGTTTTAAAAGTTTTGGGTGTATGATTATAACATAACCACTGTATGGTAGTCAGCAATTGCTGACTGTTTTTCTACTTTTTTTTATTAGTGGACAAAGGGAGAAGATGATGAACATGGTTTCCCATCTCTAAGTTCTGGAACATTTGTTGTGTGGTACAAGATACTGGTAAGGCTTACATTTCCCCCTTTTATCAAGTTTACTGATACTCTTTCTTGACAGAGATAGTAACACAAGTTGGTGTTATGTGCAGCATGAAGAGAACCTAACTGTTCTTAACAAATTGGTGAGATGTAGATTTATTTTTGAAACGTTTCAAAAGACTAAGAGTGTTGTACTTGAAGTACATTTGGTCAGAACTACTCATGTTGATTCTCTCTTAGGTCAAGGAAGCTGTTCTTCTGAAGAAAGCGAGAGCTGGTGCTCAACATAACATTATTGAAAAACTTCTAAGCAAGCTACAACAGTCTGTAAATGTGGTTGTGTCTTTAGTTAACCTTTGTAAAACTCACGATAAGGTAAATAAACAGGACTCCAAAGTTCTCTAAATTAGCATCTGTTCTCTTCTTGATTTACTCTTTTTGTGTAATAAATAATAATCGTCTTTATTATGTTCAAATGCCACCCGGGTAAGATACTCTTGACATGCCAATATCATGGTTCAGGTGACTTTGCATGCCATGGCTGTTGGGTATGGTGGGAAGTTCATTGATTCCTTCATGAAAGGTATATTCACGACACTTTACATATGATTAAATGAGAAGTGTTTGAGGCGCTAACATCATTATGTTTCCAGTTTTTGACTTCTTACAGTCCCATTTTGAAGTTCACAGAGAGGATATAATCCACTTGGTAAGATCTCTTGAGCAAATGCATAAATACATCTTAATGATTGGAGTCAAGTTTTACCCTTAATTTATCCAGAAAGCAAAACTTATCCTTGTAATGAATTAGGTTTTAGAGCTTCAAAAGGCCACAAGAACAATACAGACCCTATGTTCAGAAGCAAAGGTAAGTCTTAAATATATATTTTTTATTTTTATAAGATTTTGGACCAAATCATCTTCACCCTTGGAGTTTGTTATTGTACGATACCATTTTATTTTTGTTTTGTATTGTGGAAGGGTTTGAGGCAAACAAGCATTACCAGAAAAATTCCTGCTACAAAGAGATCTATGGAACGCCTTTTGTTCTCTGTGAAAGCTCTTCTCCACACATCATCAAATGGATGTACTTTCTGGATGGGTATGTATGAATTGTTGTTTTCTTTTGTGCACTGTGTGGGTACTTGAATATGCTACCTCGAACTAGGCATATAATCTTCTCGTAGCCTCTTGCAACGTTTATTATTTGTAAGGGTTAGAAATGTACTAGATAATGTCAATGTATCCTTGCTCTTTGTTGACTACCACATCATCATAACTAATATTCAGTTTCTTCCCATGCTACAATGCATTTTCTTTAATCTCCTTGGACTCTTGAGTTATTTCCCGATTGTTCCCGAGTTCTGTATTGTGCTTGCGGTAAGAGAGGATATAGAATAAATTAACAACTAACTTGAATTTGATTACTTTCAAGTCGATGTCTTACTTTAACCACATAGTTGAAATTATCTCTTACACAAGTAAATCAAACCTCCCAACTGATTGCAGTCGTTTACATGAATACTTGGCTATTACCACTGAGCTTTCATCGTTAGATGCTTAGCGATCATGCGATGCATATATCTTTAATACTTTCACCAGTGTCATTTTTCTCTTAGACCTTTCACACCTTAAATTAAGTTGCGGTTTTCATCTTCCGGTTCACGTTTCCTGTTTATCGTTCGTTGCCTGCTCTTGCAGGCAGTCTGAAGCATAAAGACTTGAAGGGTCAGGTGGTGAGTTCCCAAGTGTATATGGATACTGAGGATGAGAATGCTGGTGAAGAATCAGCAGAAGCCGCTGATAAAGAAGCAGCAGAAGCAACTGATGATTATCAAGCTGAGAATCTTGATAGTGAGGAGGACAGAGAAACAGAATGAGAAATGCATTCAGGAAATTTAACCATATTGACTGGAGCCCAACCTTGTGTGAGTTCAAATTTTTTTCGAGTGTTCAACGAAGTAAAACGTGCAATTGAGTGGCTTTCTATTCTCGGTTTCTGAGTTGCGTTATATCGCCAAGAACTGAAGATAAGATAGAACCTTTTTTTTTCTCTCCTTGTTTGAATTATGATTAAATTTGAAATTGCATATTGAAAGGGGATAAACTTAATACATGAAAGATAAAAGAGAATTCTACATTTAGTGTGTCAGCAGTTCAATAGCAATTAGTTTAACTGTTATGTACTTAATAAATTCCATGATCCAAATTTTGCAGGACCTCTAAGAATTCTCAACTTCTGATGATCTTGGACAACAAATTATAAGTGGGCAGCACATATTTATCAAGTTGTAGTTCCGAGTTAACAGCAGCAGCGTACAGACATGCAAGATCCTCAGACACGGGTTGGATGGAGTGAAGAGAATCGTACCAGGAAAAGTCGGTACAATCTAGTTTCTCCAGTTTTGGAAATTCTATCCCGCATGTCAACCCCCTAACTATAGATAGCATTCATTCACAGCAGTACTTATGCCGGGTATAGATAACTGTTTAGCTGGATCTGGGTATTCTGAATCTTTTTGTTTATTTGGGATTTGATAGATTTTGACAAAATGTAATAATATTGTTTCTGATAACAGAGTTTAACCTTGTATGAAAAGGTACTACTGACCAAAAATGACAGCAAATGCTATTGAACAAAACAAGATAGCACATAGTGCTTTCTGTTCTTCAGCAACTCTTCTGCATTTTAGGTCCGACGAGGTCCTATTGCGCGACCTGAAATCAAAATTACCATAACGTTAGTCATCAAGGTAGGTGCTTATATTATGATCGTGATATGAAAGACAACGGATTGATGGATCTAGTTTGAATTACCCTGTTCGATGGAAGGAGATCCGTCTGAGTAGAATTGCGGCAAGGGAGTGCCGCCATCAGCCTTGTCACGAATCTATCAGACACAAGAAAACAATTGATCAAATGAAAGTCGAGGTCATATATAACTTGAACATGGTTGATAGACTGTATTTGGGATAAGCGAGTAGGAAAAGTGTCAAACCTGGTTGTGTGGGAGCTTCACAGCTGTGTACGTAGCAGCACCAGCTAAGGCACCAAGTGTGGGTGCAACCAAATAGATCCACAATCCCTTATAGTTTCCGGCAGCCACAGCCGGACCCAAAGTCCGGATAGGGTTCATTGAGCCGCCCGTTGTTGGTCTGAACAGGTAAATACAATTTGATTTAGACAAACTAGTAAAGTTAAATGCTGTTAGTTTTATAGCAAAATAGGTTACTCACCCTGCCACAAGAATGTTGAGCAAAACTGTCGCTCCAATTGCTACACCTGCCAACTCCCCCACCTGCATCAACTTAGAAATAAGTTTACATCATAGATTAGAGAGAATCTGGACTGCAGCAGCGTAATAGCGCAAGCATGCACGCACACATACCGCACGAGTATCAGTGGCAACGGAAGTGACAGTGAACATGAGAATGAAAGTGACAATGAACTCGAGTGCAAAAGCTTGGCAATGGCTAACAGAAGGAACCGTTACTCCACCAGACATGAATGGATGAAAAACACCCTTCAGAGCGAAACTTGCAGAGATGGATGCTGAAACCTGTGCTATTATGTAGAGGGGAACTTGGGTCCATGGGAAGTGTCGAAACGTTGCAAAAGCAATGGTGACAGACGGGTTTAGGTGTGCTCCGGAGATGTGGCCTGTGGACAAAATCACTGCCATCACTGCTAGGCCTGCGCATGCCGCATTGCCTAGCAGCGTCTCCGAACCTTGATACTTTTGGTTCACAATAGGGGCTGCTGCTGCTGAAAATATCAGGATGAAGCTCCCCACAAACTCGGCTCCAAGCTGTAAATACACATGCATGATGCGTACAAAATATATTAGCTTAATTTGATTTCAAAAGTTAGAAAATCTAATAATTTTGTTGGTGTGTTAAACAAGAGATACGTACAAGAGGTGCGTACCTTTCGGAGCAAAGTGACATGAGGAGCATGGAAGCTCGACGGGGAATTGGTTTCTGGCATTATGGCAGAAGAACGAAGGAAGAGAAACAGTACTAGTAGTTGGGACTTTGTTTACACATACAGTGCTTATAGGCCGGAAACCACGCCTTGTTTACAACTTTACATAGTGCTTCTAGGCCGGAAATTGTGAGTATGCTGCTACTAGGTACTGCTACTAGACAGTTTGAATCAGTTCTTGCGCCTTAAGGAATCTTGACCTCCAATCAAAGCTGTTGTGCATCGAGTGAACTGGGCAATTTAGTTCTTCTCTGTGACTCAAGCGAGTACGGACTTTAAATATTCACTAGCGCAGAACGTCCTTTACATTGTAACTGAAAGCAAATACAAATGAAAAATGGTAATAAGAACTGAATACAGTTTGAGCCGAATCACTAAACTAAAAACAAATTCGTAACGAATCACGATCGAAAATCCATACCAAACACAATGGTTTTGCCGAGCAATCTTCAAAAGAAAATCAGGAATCTGGATCAGTTGATATCTTTGAGATAAGTTATATGTTGAGAGACTTGAGTGTCGGACGAATATGTAGTCATCCTTATATAATGATCGTCAACCCTAACTTGAGTGAAAAGCAATCGAAACATTTAGTCACTTTCCTTTTCAAAACTGCACGAAATTTGACTCGAAGATCACGATCCTGATCCAATCCTTAAGAATATTTTTTTCCTGTTTGGAGCACGAAATCTTTAATAATCATCATATTATTATTACAAATTAATACCTATTAAATTGTAAACGATTTGCAAGGAGAGCGAGTATTGACGTTTCACCTCTTATTATTCCTCATGTGATTAATAACTCAACACTGCAAAAGAAAAAGAAAGATTTGAGCACAGAGAGCCAATGCTTATTAATCACGATTTTATGTGGATGCGCAAGTGTGTGTCTCCATTTTTGAATGTTTTTGCAGAAGTTGCTTTGCTTTAGCATTTTGAGACAAGTTTGTGAACATCATCATGTAAAGGCCTAGCAATTCAAGTGGTTGAGAGCATCGATTCAATCCCTCTAATTTCTCTAGTATCGCTTAATCCCAAGTTCTATTAAGTCATTTGCTGAGAGTGAATCTCACATTAGAGAAATAAGAGATTTTTGCATATACTATTGAATTAGTGGCCAAGTGGCCGGTTAAATAAAATAAACAAAAGGAGGTAGACAACATCATTATGTTTGTTGAAAAGATAAAAAAGATCATGATGATGTTTGTAGAAAAAAAGGTAAAGGCTAGCAAGTAGCCTTATTATTGGTTTTGTTTTTGGATGCTTTCTTATTTTGATGAAGGTGTGCAGCCGAATGTGAGAGAGGTGAGAGAACACCATTTTATTTTAGCAGCCCATATTTGAGAGAGCAGCAGAGCAGCAGAAATGAAGAAGACTGTCTCAGCTCTCATTGAAAGAGAGCTCATCTCTTTGGTTAGTAATCATCCATCAAGGTAATTGTTGTTGTAATAGCTTTGAGCTTTGTATAGAGAGAAAATTATTCATTATATTTCTCTCTATTTGTTTCTTTGGTGTGTGAGAGCTATTAGTTGTATTGAGGTTTCGGGATGTGAGATTGCCAACACTTTGTAAACTTCCATTTGGTTGATAGTGGATTATTGGGTGAGCTCCTACTACTCCGAGGACGTACTCTAGTTACACTGACTGTTGAGGAACCTCGTTAAAATCTTGGTGTCTTTTATATTTTGTTCTTGCATTCCATTTGATATATTTCCTGTGGGTTAGCTTGAGTTGGTTCCAACGGGTTTGGTGCTATCCTAGCACAACAATTGGTATCAGAGCACTGGTTGCTCTTGGGTACTGTCTAGTTGGCAAAGATGTCAGATGGGCAAGATGAGAATCCTTTTGGAAGCAGCTCCGGGTTTGCAAGAACTATGGTGCAAAATGCAAAGTTCGAAGTGGAAAAGTTTGATGGAACAAACAACTTCGGGATGTGGCAATGTGAGGTCAAAGATGTGTTGGCTCAACAAAATCCACTTGCAGCTTTGGGAGAGAAGCTGGAAGCTATGTCGATGCCAGAATGGGAGAAATTAAATTTGTGGGCTTGCTCTTCAATTTGGTTGTGCCTTGCAAAAACTCAGAAGTATTTTGTGATGCGAGAGACAATAGCAAGTGTGTTGTGGCGAAAATTGGAAGACAAGTATATGATGAAGAGTATAGAGAACCGGCTACACTTGAAGAAAAAGCTCTACCGCTTCCAATACAAAGAAGGTACAAAAATGATTAGACACCTTGATGCTTTTAATAAGTTGATTGCCGACTTGTTAAATTTAGATGAGGATATTAAGGATGAAGATAAAGCCTTAATATTGTTGAATTCCTTGCCGGACTCTTATGAGCATTTTGTTACCACTATTATGCATGGTAAAGAAATTGTGAAATTTGAAGATGTGTCAAATGCCTTGATGAATTGTGAAATGAGGCATAGAGATAAAAATCTTGATAGTACCTCCAAAGTTTTATTTGTTAGAGGTAGATCATCGGAGAGGATGTCCTCTTCTAGTAGGAAAAAATTACACTCTCGACCTAGAGGAAACTCTAAAGGTAGAAAAACCTTGGAAATGGATGAATGTGCCTTTTGTCATAATAAGGGCCATTGGAAGAAAGATTGTCCTAGGTTGAAGACCAAAGGAAAAGAAAGTTTTGAAGCCAATGTTGCTGAGGTTGAAACGTATTTTTTTTATTTTGCTTTAACCACTTCCTCATCATTTGATTGTGCTACTAAATGGGTGTTGGATATGAGGTTGTACTCATCATATGACTCCTCACAAGGATTGGTTTTCAAGCTTGAAAGAGTTTGATGATGGTGTTGTATTCATGGGAGATGACAATCCTTGTACAACAAAAGGGATTGGTACAGTTCGTTTGAAGTTGCATGATGGCATGGTTAAAGAGTTGACAGGTGTTCGGTATGTACCGAATTTGAAGAAAAATCTTATTTCTTTGGGCACTTTAGAATCCAAGGGCTTCAGGTTTCATTCAGATGGGCAGACATTGAAAATTATTTATGATGCACTTGTTGTGATGAAAGCTCCTTGATGTGGTCATTTGTAACTATTGCAAGGAAGCACCGTGACATGTGAAGCATTTGTAGTCTCAGAAAATATGGGCACATCTGATTCAGATACTACTAGATTGTGGCATATGAGATTAGGCCATGCCGGTGAGAAAGCTCTACAAGGGCTTGTGAAAAAAGGTCTTCTAAAAGGTGCCATGACTTGTAAGCTTGATTTCTGCGAGCATTGTGTCTTGGGAAAACAAACTAGAGTGAAGTTTGGTACTGCAGTACATCAGACGAAGATAATTATTGATTATGTGCATTCGGATGTTTAGGGTCCTACAAAGACTCACTTTTTGAGTGGTAGGCATTGGTTCGTGACCTTTGTTGATGATTATTCAAGAAGGTCTTGGGTCTACACTATGAAGCACAAGAGTGAGGTGTTAAGCATTTTCTTGGGTTGGAAGAAAATGGTTGAGAACCAGACTGGGAGAAAGATTAAAATTTTACGATCCGATAATGATGGAGAATATACATCCGATCCTTTCTTTAAAGTTTGCAAAGAGGAAGGGATTGTGAGACATTTTAGTGTCCGGGGAACTCCACAACAAAATGGAGTTGCAGAAAGATTGAATCGAACCTTGCTTGAGAAGGTTAGATGCATGTTGTCTAGGTCGGGTTTGAGCAAGTCATTTTGGGCAGAGGCAGTTACTTATGCATGTCATATTATCAACCGGTTACCCTCAGCTGCTATTCAGGGTAAAACACCAATGGAGGTTTGGATTAGGAAACCTTCTACTGATTATGATTATATTTATATTTTTGGTTCGCCTGCTTATTTTCATGTAATTGAAAATAAACTTGATCCTAGAGCAAAAAACGCTATCTTTCTTGGTTTTAGTAGTGGTGTCAAAGGATACAGGTTGTGGTGTCTAGAGATGAAGAAACTTGTAATCAGCAGAGATGTGACATTTGATGAAGAAAGTATATACAAAGACTCTGAGAAGAATGTGAAAGATGTCCAACAAGTGGAGCTTGAGAAAGTTGCCTCTGGTACTTCAAATCATTTCCGCTGATGTCAAAGCCACTACAAGTGAAGAAGTTGGAGACCATGAGGATGTTGAAGAAGTTGAACTTGAAGATTCTATTCAAGTTGAAGAGCAAGTTTCACCTCAAGAGTTTATTGTCAAGAATAGAGGAAAAAGACAAATTATCAAGCTAGCTCGGTATAGTGACTATGTTGCTTTTGCTCTTCCTATTATCATTGATGATATTCCATCTAATTTCGAGGAAGCCATTGAGAGTGAGAAGAAGGAAAGGTGGTGCAATTCCATGGGTGATGAGATGAATTCTCTCTTGAAGAACAAGACTTGGGAATTAGCTAAATTGCCTAAGGGCAAGAAAGCTATCGGTTGCAAATTGGTGTATGCCAAGAAGGAAGGTGCTGATGAGAAAAGCAATGTGAGATTCAAAAGCAAGATTAGTTGCTAAAGGGTATGCACAAAAGGAGGGCATTGACTACAACGAAATATTTTATCCGGTTGCGAAGCACTCCTCAATTCACATTATGTTAGCTCTTGTTGCACAGTATGATCTTGAGCTTGTGCAACTTGATGTGAAGACGGCTTTCCTACATGGTGATTTGAATGAAGAGATCTATATGTGTCAACTGGATGGGTATACAGTGAAAGGGAAGAAGAATTTTTTTTTTGCAAATTGAAGAAATCACTTTATGAGTTGAAGCAATCTCCAAGGCAATGGTATTTGAGGTTTGATAAATTTATGAGAGGCCAAAATTATTTTAGAAGTCAATATGATCATTATGTGTACTTCAAGAAGTTGCAAGATGGGTCTTTCATTTATTTGTTGATATATGTTGATGATATGTTGATTGCCTCAAAGAATGTCGAAGAGATTGAGAAATTGAAGAAGCAAATGAAGAATGAGTTTGAGATGAAGGATCTTGGTGAAACAAAGCAGATCCTTGGCATGGAGATCACTAG